TATTACCCGATCCAATTTTTTTTGGCCAATTTGCCTTCAAATTATTTGTTTAGTAGCTTTTATATGTCTTTACTTTAGGATAGCCCTCATTTTATCTTACGTCTCTGAATAATGATTGATTCCTTTATATAATTGAGGTTTACAAGTGCTAAGTTAGGTATCAGTGCAGTCCTTTAGTGTTGTTGTTTTGTATAAAATAGTTGAGGTTTGATTATTCGGATAAGCTTAGGTTTAATTGGAATTTGCCCAAGGGGAGTGGACAGTTAATTATCTACCGTCTCTTTTATCAGAGTTTGAAGTATGGAGAATCAAACAAATTCTCCATGCCATGGACTGTTCTCCAGGCGATTATCAGCATTGTACTGCAGAAGAAAGTAGGCCATGAAACGTAAGTAAGTGCTGAAAAATGGTTGATACAAAGAAGGGTCTAAGACCTCAACATCTTGAGTTAAAATATTTCTAGAAGATTGATAGTCAATATGAACATTTGGAATGTGGCGGTCTTGGATAGTACAATCGGAATGCTGTCAAATGCAAATCTAGAATCCCTTTTTTCAAAAATTATGGTTTGGAGTTATGCTATGAAGTGTTTCTCCAGGAAGGCCATTTAAAGAGGGATATGCTTCTCTGTCAAATGAAAACACCTTGCTGCTTGCCTAGAAAAAGAAATATTTTCGAAGCAAGTTTGTATTAAATGAACTGGAAATGCTAAATCTATAAGACACTTAGATTTAATTTTACACTTTGACTTCTTAGTGTCTCAAACTCTTAGTTATGTTGTAAAGTGTCTGTGTTTGCTTCTTAGCTAGATGCATTACGTCAACTCATATGCATGGTTCATTTGATTTGTTACTTTATCTTCTAAGTGATTTTTTTGAAGAAGAATCTTCATGAGAAATTCTAACGGCTAAACGAAGTAGGACACGGGTCCGTGCCTTGCATGGGCACACAACATCTAGTATTTATTATATGTCGCGCTTACTTAAAAAAAAACAGATGATGCTTAATATTTTTAATTTTATAAAATCAATTCATAAATAACATTATTTTTTCTTGAAAGTATGAATTTGATTAACACATAAAAATTAAGTGATTAATTCATGTTTGTTGATTAATTTAATTAATCAAAATAAATTAATTTATTAAAAACTTGATTTCAAGAAATCACTAAACAAGAAATAAGAATATAATGTTAAAATTTACCGAATTTCTTAAGAAACGTAAATCTAAATTAGTGATATATAAATAGAAACGAGGGGGTATAACCTTTTTATTGTTGTAAAAAAAAAATACAAAAATTACTGATGGCACCTTTATTTTTTATTTTTCGCTGCAATTTACTTTTACTTGTTATTGTAAAACAATAATTTTTTCCTTTTATTCTTCTCCTTCTTTCTTCACCCCCCCCCCCACAAACTCTCTAAACCTAAAATCACTATAATTCTCCGAATTGGAAAATCTGAGCTGTGAGCTCTTAACGTATATGATTTGAGTTGTCTCTCTTTTTGAGTTCCCGGCGGCGTTGTGTTTGGTCTCGGTAAGCTTATTTTTTATCTTCAATCACCTGGGTTTCTAAATTAGTTATGTCGCAGCTCTGTGTCCATCTATTTAGTTGAGGTTCAAGTAGTGTAAAGTTTTTTTTTGTTTGTTTGATAATTGTGGTATCCTGGCTGGCTTGTGTGCACCTCGATTAATTTTACGAGATACCTATTACCTCCCAACAACAATCCACCAAGGCTGGGACTGGACATATGAGAATAATCACCTACTGTTTTTGTCTCTTCTGGGGAAGTAGTGTTTAATTATTGAGGAGAATGAAGTTCTCTGTATAGTATTTAAGGTTGGACATGAATCATACAAGGTGCTTGGATATTTCTATGTCACAATCTAGAGTAGTTTCCTCCCATTTTTACAGTTATGATAAAATACTCTGTTGAGTTGATTAGGCAAAGGATCCCAACTTTCTTTTTTCCCCAATTGTCCCTGTTTTGGATGGCATGCGTTATGACACATCGTTGAAGCATCAAAATCAACAAGTTATCTATCTGCCATAGGGATAGTAATAAATAGTTAGATACTTTAATTGCTAACACACTATTAAAAAAATTCTATAACTAATGGGGATTTAAAAAGTTGGATTTTTTAATTGCTAACACTCTATAACTAATGGGGATTAAAAGTTGGATATGCTGGATCCATAAGGATGCTGATGTAAGTCTCTTGCCTGCTCTTTTGTGAAAGATGTTGCACCATACTTCCTGTCCTGACTCCTGACATATCAAGAGGGTTGGGAATATATAGCTACATTATGGTGTAATGCCAAACCCGTTTGCATATAGGTCAAGGTCTAATTCGTTAATTTTATTTCGAAGTGTAAAGTACAAATAGTAACAAATATACTCAACTGGTGTAGCACCAACATTAAGCATCACGGTGTTATTCTAAAGGACTGAGACTAACATTTTAAGCATTTAATTTTGCTGAAGTATTTGTGTTACCTTCATTCTAATCGAACATGTGCACTATTTCTTTACTTGCTATCTTTTAATATGATATTTGTGCTACATTCATTCTAATCGAACTTGTGTGTAGAGATTCTGTAGAATTGGTGATGACAAATGAACCAACTTCTAGAAGAGACAAAGAATTTTATAACAAAATGAACAAAAATAATTTTAGTAATATAAGATGTGCACATTGCACCGGTCCGCTTTCTAAGGAGATGGTAAACAACTGATTCTTGTACTTTTTTTAAAAAAAAAATTTATGTGTTTTTTCATTGTATTTCTGAGTGTTAATACAATGTTATATGTATGAGTGATTCTCTCATTCCATTGCAGGAGACAAGTGAGTGGACAGTTCCGCCTCTAATCCGGGATAGCTTTTCTATGGTTCGATATCAATGATTTACATTGACACTGCTTTGTTTTTCCAATTCTTGAATGATAAAATTCGGTTCTCTCTTTATTTTATGGTGCACAATTTGAGTAGACCACTGGATTGGACAAATTAAATTGCATATGCATAGTGTAAAACATTAGTAGTAAAAGAAAATTTGAAGAATTCATACTTTAAAATTGGTTATAGTGGGAACATTGATATTTGAAGTTGAATTGTTAAATAAATTTTAATTCTTGAATGTTGAAACTTATGACAGTTACATAAAATAAAAATACCAACAATTTTAGAGATGTGTTAAATGTTATCTGAATCCCACCACCCTCATTTAAAAAGTGTTTGATGAAATCGCTAGTAGAAAATCTATAGCATAAATTGGAACAGTTTTAAAATTTTTGCCTTAGCGGTTTGTATTTTATTACATTCTGATTTGTTACTAAATCTGCTTGTCCTAATTCATCTCCCCCCAACTCCACCCCCACCCTTTTACTTAACTACTTTCGTGATATTTCAGATTGGCTCTGCAGTTGGTGGTACTACAAGTGCATTTTATGGCTTCAACCATGGTACATAGCAGTATTTTGGCCATCTTCCTTAGTTTCTTTTTGTATATGTTTCCTTGCTTCTAACATGCTCTATGTATTTATACCCCCTTTCGGAGGTGAAATATTGTGTATTGATTATAATCTGCTTTATATGTAGCAAAATGATATTGGTGATTCATATGGCCGACTTCAATTAGTTTGAATGAATATGTAGTTGTTGACTTGTTGTATAATCTTCTTCATATAGCAACCCAACCATGTTGTAACATAATGAAAGTAACTCTATGGAAATAAAATGGGAAGAATTTCTACATTATTCACTCACGCTGTTAATTTTTTTTTAATGTTGATAATCTTCTTATTAGTAGTTAAGTACTGCTTAGTGCTTACAGTGTACTTATCAAAGGATTTCTGACGAACAACACCACATGCACTAAAAATGTGTAAAAGATGAGCAAAAATCTTTGGTAGTATGCTGTTTCTTTGTAAATCATTCTTCTGACTTTACAGAAGATGCATTTCTGGTTTCTATAGTAGTCTGAGGATAATGTATGCCTGTCATGGAAGCATCTCTCGAGTCATTGAGCCTTTTTAATCAAGTTCATATCTCTACTGGAGCCTAAATACTATCTTTTTCCGACTTTATATGGTGGAATTTGTATTTTTAATCGACATGTCAAATCTGAGATTATTCATTTATGTACAAATACTGTGCATAAATGTTTTTTTAATTGACCTGGTATCCACGTTGATGTGAAATTCTTGTCTGAATGACAATCATATTAATGTTAACCAACATGTCTTGTCTCTATCTTATTCCTCTGATTCCTACTTGCAGTGATGCCGATTGTTAGAAGGTGGGTTAAAGGACGTATGTGGTTACATTTCCTTGTTGGTGTAAGTTATTATTCTTTTTGGTGTACAAAGGATATACTGTACAAGGAGGCTTGGAAGAAGTTTGTAATGAATTCTCAGTTAAGCTTATAGATGCTAGCATACATTGGAACTACAAAATTCAAATGCACTAGGCTTCCATCTTATAAATTCTATATATTGTCAGCACTACCTCCGAGTCATAAATAATTTAGGCAATAGTAAAACATATCTACATACATGACAAAAGTATCACAACTTGTGGGATTACAGTGGGTATGTTGTTGTTGTACTCCTATTCTCTGATTGTTTCTAGTGCTCCTTTTCCTTGAATGGTTTTATTCTTGTTCAGTAGCTTTTTTCACAGACGGTTTAAATGTTGTTTTTGTAATTCTCTGTGTTGGGTTTATGCAGGCTCCTCCTGTGATTGTTTTCTCATCTGCATGTGCAGGGCTAGCAGGTTTGAACTTTACTTCTTCCAAGCGTTTACCTCCGTCTACTCTGTAAAATAACTTGCTTTTTGTTTTACCTATTATTGTTTCTAGATTGTATGCTCCTGACATGAGTAAATCTTGTATGTATTCCCCTAGTTTTTTCCATTTAACATTCTTTTCCATGGTTGAAACCTTGCAGGTGGTGCTGTTCCAGCATTTGCACAGCTAGCATCTTCGTCTTACCATGCTGTGATCTCATCTTCCACATTACCACCTACAGCCTCTCAAGATGAAAACATGAGAAAATCTAGAACTTCTTCAACTTTATAGCTTAAACACCAAGAGGAGATGCTTTTACTATCATGAGTCCAGCATTTTGCGGGATCATTTCTTAGTTGTGACAGTCTGTCCTCTCCTGTTTACTAGCTCCCGTTGTGGTGGATTTTTTTTCCTTTGAAAATATATTACTTGTTCATGTAATGAGTTTGTTTATTTTTGTAAATTCCAACCTTAGTATCTCAGTGATGGCAGAAATTTGACAGAGTTTTTTTAGGAAGTCGAGTGCGTGATAGTTTTCGTAGCTCAAACAGGCATGTTTTGAGGAATTCTTTATCATGTTTTATTATAACAGCTGTCCACTTATTCTATTCTACAAGCCACACTGATTCAAGACGAAGTTTGAGAATGAAATATGAACAAATAATGAACGATTCTCATGGCGAAAACAAGAACGTTTGTACATCTTCATTTACCAGAGAAATTAGAGTCTGCATGTTCTGCCATTGTTTCGAGTGAGACGAAATCAAATCAAAAAATTTAAAGAGAGAAAATTGGTATTCAATGGATCCATCAATCTTGCTTCAAGTAGATGCTTTGGATACAAGTTCTTGTGCATACATATGAATATTTCACAAAGTTGCAAGTCCAGCCTTGTTCTTAAGCAATCTCATTTGGAACCTCAGTTACAGTCATCTTGCTAGTTATTCCAATTAACTTTTGAGTTTCCTCATCCATCTCCACGTTATCCTTTTTCATCCTCTCTTCAACTATCATTGGCATCTTACCCGCATTCACATAAGTTCGGAGAAGTGCATTATATATCTCTGTATTCACATACTTAGCGTGTCGAAGGGTAACTAGCAACTGTTCTGCCACCTGAATGTCGCCCTGCTCTTCAACTACATGATACATCTCTCGAACCATCTTTGCATCTGGATCCCATTTTGAAACACTTGTAACAGTTTTTTTGAAAACTTCGAGAACTTTATCCATTTCCTTTTGCTTCAAATAACCCCGCGTAAGAAGCTCCCAAGTGGTGCAGCTAGGAGATATGCCTTTCTGCATCATTTTGTTGTGAAAATTGACAGCCTTTTCCATCTCATTTTTGTTAATGTAAGCAGCAAGAATTAAATTTGCAATCCTAGTATCCTTGGTCACAGAAACAGCTTCCCATTCAGTGTACAGATTCATTGCTTCTCCAAATTCATCCAGCTTCAGTAACAACGATATAATACAACTATATTCTGTATCATTCACTTTACGGAAGATTGACTTCATCTCCTTCCATATTCGGAAAACTTCATCCTTGTTTTGTAGATTTGTATGCAAACTGATGAGAGAAACATATGCAGTTCGAGCCTTCCTGGAAATCTTTTTCTCCATTTCTTGCAAAGTTGAATTTGCCTTATCCTGAAGTGAGCTTTTAATGTAGATGTTGGTTAATGTGCTAAATGTTATCCAGTCAGGGTCCAATTTTGCCTTCTTTAGCTCAAGTAACATTTTCTCTGCAGCTTCAACATTATTCTGTGATGCAAAAACTGCCAACTCCAGATTATATGTGACAATATCAGGAGAGGTATTTTTCTTCAATTCCTGAATCAGGCCTAGAACTTTCTCTAGTTGCCCTTGGGATATGTATAAGGTAAGCATGTGATTATAAGGAAGATGGTAGTTCAAGAAACCGCATTCAGACATTTTTTTCATCAAAGACTCAGCTTTAGCAATGTTCTTATGCTGGACATAGGTGTGGAGAAGGGCAGTACAGGTGGTCTGGACCTTCAGTTTATCAGGTAGGTCTTCAAAAAACTTCTTCGCACTGTTCATACAACGGACTTTTGCAATCAAGTCCAAATGAACTGCATAGTCACCATATAATAGTTGGATATCATCTTGTACCCTCATCCATTCACAAACCTGTAAAAATAATCCCATCAACATTGCAGATTTCAATGCTATTAAAAGTGGCATGTCACCTTGCTCATCAGAAAACTATTTATTTTCTCACAAGGTCTTTTTAGAAAACTATGAGACACTTAATCAAGAGCAAGGACAATAATTGATTTTAACAAAACTAGAACAAACAGTAGAAAAAATAAAATGAATGTTTGTTTTAAGCTTTTACAATATGCATTTCGTTCATAACTGGTTAGTGGTCACAGTTCTTATTAGCAATAATCTAAACAATTCCAGCAAGCTTGAAGACTCGAGCAATTCCTTCTGTAGGTGAGGAGACTCTGTAGCAACTGAGAATACTGTAAAAAGCAGTTACCTTCTCAATCATATAACACCATTTCTTGGATTAGTAACTCCCTTGTTCAAAATCTAAGGTGGCACCATGCACAATGACTTCGTATTCAGTAATTTAACCACATAGAATAATTCACTTGAATATTCAACACCAAAAATGGATAATTTACAGTTCCTACCCTAGCTCATCCATCATTTGCAATTTTCATGACAAAATATAGAAGTTAGGTAGAAACCGGTCAAAAAAAAAGTATTCTAGTGCTGCAATACACTACCACTATAAGCCTAAGAAATAAATGATTCGAAGTAAATCATGAAACAGTTAATGAGAAGAAAGAGAAACCTCAAGGGCATGTTTGTATCGTTTGTGTTTTCGCAACTCCTGGACGATGCGATTGAGCTCATACTTGCGGACAGGGCGCCCCTCTTCCTTCCACTTGCTTATAGCAATGACAGCACTACGTTTTGCATAGATCAAGCTCAAAAGCCTCCTCCCTAGCGTGTCTCTGCCACGATTACTTGTGGCAGTACTAGTGCCACCTTCTAAACTAGTGGTAATGCCATTTCCTCCTCCTGATCTTGTGGACTTCACTGTTGTCGCAACTTCAGTCGATAAAGGGCGAACAACAGCATAAGATCTCCGAACCAAACGGCGCAACATTTCTATTCTTAGCAAAGACACATTTTGTATTGCCTGCTTTGAAAGAAGATCAGACATGAGATAGCCATAAAAAAGAAAAATCTAAAAATAAGGCATATCATTTTAAGATATTTGAGTCTTAAAATCATTGTAACAACAAATTAGACATCAAATGTACTTCACCACACTTTTCTTTTTATATGGGTCAACTTGCTTACACCTCGACTATTCCACCGGGTACAAGTTATTTTCCACCAGGTCATGTAACTAGAAACCCTGTCCACCAAGGCTTAGGCAAATAGGAAGACATCACCTAGTGTTAATTACTTTTGCTGGAGTGGAATTTGAACCCGAGACCTCATAATACATCACCATATAGTCTAAATCAATGACCTAGAATATTTGTAAATGTACTTTCAGACCTTATATACACCTCTTTCAATTTAAATTGTTAATACTAAATTCATGACCTTAACTACTCTTTCTCAATTCTAGCTACACATTTCCCAATGATTCCCCAGCTTCAGCACAAAAAGCAAACTCTATTGTATTTATTAAGTACTAAAATTCTAAACATTTCTCTTCGATAAAAGCTACAAATTTCCACATTTTTCCGGTTTATTGTCATTTCGCCATTGTTAGCATAAAAACATGATTTTTATCTTTTTAAGCACCAATAAACTTCCATTTCTTCACTAACCCAGCACCAATCAGAGTTGGTAATGCACAAATACATGCTACAAATTTGAACTGAATGAAAGAACTTAGGCTTATCAAGGAAATACAGTAATTATAAAATGATAAACAATCAGAATTCAGAAGAAAACACACCTACTGTGCGAGTGATTTGCAATGTCAATTTACTCGCCGGTGAGAGAATTAGGGTTTAGGGTTTAACACTTCGACATCCGGTGTTCATTTGGGGTTTTCCACTTGGACCCATGAAAGAACAATTTCAAATATTAAGTCCTTTAAATTTGCTAAAGTGTACCAACTTTCATCAACTCGTTTGCTCCCCCTAAAAAAAAATGTTTGATCCATCTTTTTGTGCCAAAAATTGAATACAAATTGACTAAGCCGATCACACAAATGCTTTTTTATATAATCAAGGGGTTTGATCCATTTTATTTTTTTAGAAAATGAAAAATTGATTCTTCTTGATTCAATTTTTTGGTCAAAATTTCAATCAAAGAAATATAGATTTACGTGAACTCAAATTCAAATACTTCCCGAAAACTTCAAACTTGGTTTCTTGAGTGATACGTTATCCAAAAAATTTGATCAAACAAATGTAAAAAAATTATGAAAGCTATTTTCTCCATGTACACAACAAAGAAGTTATAATGGCTCAGAAAATCAACACAAATTCCATACCAGTATCAAGAAAATCATATACTATTCAAGATTATCATACAGGTTCGTAATAGTACAAGATACCAAAAATCAATGCAACTCCCTGGGGTTGTTTAACTCATAGAACAGCTTCATCCCAAGCTCAAAAGACATAAAAGCATCAATACAAGCATATTCAACTTGTTCATACACCAATTCCTCTGCATCCCAATCACTCATCGTAACATGATACGGCTTTTCCATCACTTTTCCAAGAACTTCATGCGTCATTCTCTTCAACCCAATTCTCCCATACGCTTCAATTTCATAAACACCCATCGCCAGCTTGTTCAAATCGACTGGGTTCGCCACAAACAACGTGTAATTCTCGTACAATTTCACACAATCGTCGTTAACACTCACACCCAGAAAGCTGAAATTGGGGTTCTCGAGGAAAGAGAAGAGAGAATTCGGGATGTAATCTGCGTGAATTAGTTGGAATATGATGCAGCGGAGGCCGACGCATAGCTGGAGGAGCGCAACAGGGGGGTTTTCTTCGGCGGGGTTTCGAGTCGCCCGCCACTCGACATCGAGACGGACGAGGAGTTCGCGGAGTCTTCGACGATGAATTTGAACTGTTTGCCGAATCCATCAATCCACTTCCGAACCTTTCTTTGTAACTGTTACTTCAATTTGGTCTCTATAGAAAGGAATACTATAGAATGTGGTGTGGGCTCGGGAGATTTTGGCCATGCTGATGATATCTTGAGAATAATACTGCGAATTCGCCATTGTTGGAGTTGAATTGGGAGCGAAATTGTATGCAGAATTGTGATATTGGAAAGACAGATAGCGCTCAAATGGTTGTAGTGTGTATGGAGTTTATATAGAATTTGAGATTGTTGAGTTGTATTGACAGAGAAGGGAGCTTTCTTGCCGCCAATGTAATAAGGGTCGTTTGGTTGGGAGCAAGTAATTTTAAAATAAGTTATTTCGAGATAAAATATTTCATCACAATAATAGAAATAGTGAAATAAATAATTCAAGGTAATATCTCCAACCAAACATGAGATAAAACAATAATGCATTCTATTATAGGAATTATTATACTGTATATCCTACATCAAACGATTTCTAAGTATCTAAATTGTTATTTATTGTGATATATATTAATTTTATATATGTAAATTTTATAAAATTTTGAAGATTTTATGTTTGATTTTGGGCAAAATATAAATTATATCAAATAAATTGTAGAGTACACATTTTCTCCCTTTTCGATCATGTGACTTTATATTTGAATGAAAATAGTATTTTATATTGTATGTTCAACTCGCCTAGTACATTCTCTTTTTGTAATGTAGATAATCGTAGAATGACATAGAGCGAGAAGAAAATAAAAGACAAAATGGTGGTGGAGGTGATGATAAACAGTTTCAGAATTATATGTATTAGAAAGTATCGATCAACACTTATTCGCTGAAAAATGATATTTTTTAAGAGTAGGCAATTTTTTTTAATACATATATAATGATATTGTCTTCCATAGAAAAGTTTGTTGGGGGAGTCCGAAGGGTAGAGGTTTTTTCCCCGAATAGATAGGGCCTGATAAGTTTGAAATTCGTCGCAGATGTACTTTTTATATTTTAACAACTTTTTAGTAAAAATCTAGTTATTTATGATGAAAATGGTGATGAGGAGAGACAAATAGGAAGAAGAAAAAAGGTGAATTCAAAATTAGGGGATAGTCAAATTTATCTTAAGCTAATTATGTTAAAAGTTTAAATTTGTCTTCGTTTGAAAATGTCTATCCTTAATTATATGACCTATGATTTTATTGGGGGCTAAATTTTTACCGTTAAAAAATAAAAACAAAGTTATTTTATTTGATATAGTTTAAAATTATATCTAATATCAACTAGCAATGATAAAATGTATTTGAACTCAATTATTAATGCAAGACAAATTATTTCATTTAACATAATTTAGGAACAATTCTTTACCTTACTTTAAATGACTTACTTCCTTCATGAATATATAAGAGCAATTTTTTACATGCATATGCTGCTGAAAAAAACAACTAATTATGTTCTATCTATTTTTCTAGTTGATGATTTATCCCTTTTTTTTATTTTTTATCAAGATTTATTCCCCCCTCCCCCCCCTCTTCTTTTTTTTTAATACATCAAGAAGATGATAGCGCATATATCTTCCAACTAATAAAAGTCTTTACAGTTTACAACTAATGCAATTCCTAACTCAAATTTCCAGCTAGGCCCAAATAATACTTTGACGGTTTATAAAGTATAATATAGTATAATATAATATGACATGTGAGATTTAAGGAAAATAAAGTGTATTTATATTTTATATCTATTTCGTATAAGTGAAAATGTTATTTTTCGATAGACCACTCACTTAGATAAATCATTTCAAAATAGCTTGAAGAAAGAAATACATAAATAAAACTAATAATAACAATAAAATAATGTGAATCAGAGAGTACGAATTTAATATAACTTAAAAACTTTAATCAAACTGTGTAAATTTACAATCAAATAACACCAAGGAACTAGCAGTTTTTTTTTGTGATGACAATGGAAACCCGCAACCGCTACCCTTTGGGTGCGCACAGGATAAAACCCCCGCTCCTATGCAATAGCTCGCAAACCACACAAGGGAGGTAACCCGCACTAGGCAAGCCTGGTGCGACGAGCTCGACCCAGAAGGCAAACCCCTTGCTTTTGTTGATAAGGGGTTTTGAACTTGAGACCTCCAACATGGAAGTCCCAAGCTCAAACCACTGGGCCACCCCGAAGGGTAACCCGCACTAGGCAAGCCTGGTGCGACGAGCTCGACCCAGAAGGCAAACCCCTTGCTTTTGTTGATAAGGGGTTTTGAACTTGAGACCTCCAACATGGAAGTCCCAAGCTCAAACCATTGGGCCACCCCGAAGGGTGTACCAAGGAACTAGTAGTGTTCATTCACAATCCTTATACGTAGGCTTATGTACTGGTCGGTTCAGTTTGATTTTGATGTTTATCGATTTAACTTATTGATTATTGATTTGTAGATATTCTAAATCGTTATAGAATCACTAAGACATCACTTTATCATTATCAGTTTAACGGTTAAAAATGTACACATTCTTTTAAAATTGAAGATCACTTAGAAATAAGGAGACTACTCAGATGAACTATGCACATGAATTACATTTTGCTAAAAAACAAACATAACACCTTGTAAAATAATAAATAGTTCGAGATAGTTAGAAATAAAAGTATGAATCTAAATCACAAGTCAAAAATCCTATATAGGAATGATATAAATAAAATTTACTAATTTACTATTGGATTAGTCAAGAAAAATCCTCAAACCATTGAGAATCGATAACTGGATGTAAAACAAATCGAAATTGTTACTGAAACTCAAAATGAATAGCCCATTATCGATAACTCAATATTTTTTTTTATTCAAGCTATTAGCTTCTATTCGATTTTAAACAAACCTACATATACGTCTACCTCTATTTAAGAAAAAAAGAAGTAAGGGGGCCAAATCCATAAAACCCCAAAAGGATGGGATGAAAAAGAAAATATCAAAAGAAGTAAGCACAAAATGAGGACCGTAGGATTAATAAGATGAACGGTGAGATACAGCCAAGTGTTGCCCAGTCGGAAAAATAACAAATTTGCTCATTTCCCCACAATCTCCTCCTAACAACGCCGTTTTCATACACACAGAGAGCAAAACCCTAGCTTCTTTCCCGATTCCGGTAAGTAGGGCTTAACCTTTTTTCATTTCGAACACATATCAAATCAATCGGTGAATTTTGACTGCTTAATTCAGGTACTCTTTCAGTTTGCTTCTTCGTTATTTGCTGTATTTTGTTAATGTTGACATACTCATTTTGTCTCTGTTTTCCTGTTTGTATTGGAATTTAATCCATAGTATTGTGCTTATTGTCGGAAACAAGGTTGCATTCTATTGTGGTTTGTATTGTTTAGAATTTGAACCTGGGTTCTCGTTGAGCGATAGTGTTCTGTACTGTTTATGGTATTGATTGTTCTGCTGTTGATTTATTTATAGCAGTTGCTTAAAATTGCATTTCATCCATCTGCATAGAAGTAATATGACTTTCGAAGAATTCAGGAAATATTCATGTCTCACTCTATGCATAACTAAAGGATCAGAAGAGAGCTGAAATATTCTCTTGTAGTGCCTAAAGTGTTCTTGGTGCAGGAATTAGATTGTCAACTTTTATATTAGCGGAACTTTAAAGGCTGGATATCATGTATTCCATTTTATGTTTGAGTAGCTAGCCAGAAGAAAATGAAGAAGCTAAGAAGTATAATGTGGTGTGGCTGAAAGCTTATGAATTACAGATATGTAGTAAATAATCCTTGAAGGTTTGTTGATGGGAAATAATAAATTTGATACTGTGTGATTAGAGTTTAGATTAAATTCAGATGACAATTTTTATTAGACTTTATAATATATATTTTTTAAAACACAACATGAAGTATAATAACGGAAAGTTTAATTCAGGCCTGGAGCATTTGTTTATCACCACTAATTTTTAGTGTAGACTGTAGACTTACATTCCAGCTTTTTTTTAGAACTGGTTTGTTAATAATACAAATTACTTCTGTTAAAAAAGGTTTAGTTCATACCGGGATAGCAATAGCGGGGGAGAAGGGAAAGGTACTTCAATCAGGTCAATTTGATTGAGACTTTGATGTTATCCTTGAAATAGCAGTGAGCAGCCCAAACTCAATTTTGAAACCAAACACAGATTGATCTACTGTCTTTGTTTCTGTTTCCAAATATTCCCAGTGCCAATATAATGTTATGTCCAACACTCTGATTTTTTAAGGTTTATGCTTGGCTGTGGGTGATGTAATAGTCATGGAGTTGAGAGGTAGAAGAAATGGAAAGCCGGAAGCCTAAAATGTTCTTCTCAGGAAATCATGTGGACATGTGGAGAGAGAAATATGAGAGCCTTTGAGCTAAATAAATCTCTGTAGGCCACATCTACAGGAATTCGATATGTTTTATGTACGTATGGAGCTTATTGTACATTCCCAGTGAATATGTGATTACCTAGAATCTCTATATTGGAACTGCAACCTTTAAGATGTTTTTCTGTACATCTTCTATATGGATTAATCCCTTTTTCTCAATGATGTACCTTATCTGTAAAAAGTAGGCTGCTTATAGTACAAAATACATTTAAGGTTGCTAAATTGATATTGGATATATTACCATAGTATTTTGTAGTGAAATCTGTTTGTGTAATTTGTTCTTGTCTGTGTTATTAACATTTTTTTTAGGTGTTAGTAACATGTTTTCCGTCTTTCCTTGTTCTTTTTTCTATTTCCAAAACAGGGTGTTCTTTGATATGTCTAGTAGGCAAGATTCAGATATTGATGATGATTTCAGTGATCTTTACAAGGAATATACTGGCCCTGTTAGATCCAACACAACTAAGGCACAAGATAAAATTGTGACAGAAAAAAGGCCTCATGTTGGTTCAGATGAGGAAGAAGAGGATGCCCGCGACCCCAATGCTGTGCCGACGGATTTTACTAGCAGGGAAGCGAAGGTTTGGGAAGCTAAATCCAAAGCTACTGAGCGAAACTGGAAGAAACGGAAGGAGGAAGAAATGATTTGTAAAATATGTGGAGAGTCGGGCCACTTTACTCAGGTACTGCTTTGTATTGGGATTCTTATTATTATTCTTGTTACTACTATGTGTCGAGGAGGGAGAGATATTTTAAGGATCACAAGGGTTATATCAGAAAATATTTACTTTTAGTCAACCATTTAATAAATAATTTCCTGTGTTCCTCATGCTTACTCTCTAGGATGTTGATTTTTTTTCCTGAGAATAATTAGTGAGAGAACTTTAGTTCATTTTTTTTTTTGTTATCACAGTCTCGCTCCTTAATATTCTCTTTTATTTTCTGGTGAAGGCAGTTGTTTTCATCTTACCCTTGCTGTCCAGTTATCAGATGTTCGTAGAGCAACATCCACTTTTGTTTCGTGATATACTGGGTCAGCTGGCATACTATAAACTGGTCATTACACTCATCTTCTTGCCTTTTTCCACTTCCAACTAACGAATTTTAAATCATTCTTTTGGGTTGGCTTGGATAAGTATGAAAATTGAAAATCTATCCATGAGATATCTTTCTTGCATTTACTGGTATCTACCTCTCAAAAAAGTGTCTTTTCTTGCATATACTAGTATCTCACTTGATAACTAAAACCGATCGCCTAAGAGCTTAAACTCTGGCAATTTTTTCGCTTATGATCCTTCTGAACTAAAGAAAATAAGTTAAGCTGTGTGCATGCATTGACTGGCAATTTTTTGTGTATGATCTTTCTGCATGCCATTTCTATCAAGCCCAACCACGATTCTCTTTTGGGCGAACAGATGATGGCTTTATTAACAAACCTTGTCTTGCACAAGAATATGTTATTACTGTTTAACTAATATAAAAGAGGCTGTGTATCAAAAAATCTAAAGGGTGTGTACCTCCATATCTGTCAAAGGTTTTTTCTCATAGACTCATGGAAGAACTTATGCAAATGGTCAAAATTTATTTTGTGTGCTAAACAAACCATGTTTAGGGATGTCCATCTACTCTTGGAGCGAGTCGCAAGTCTCAAGATTTCTTTGAGAGAGTGCCTGCAAGGGAAAGCCATGTGAAAGCTTTGTTCACCGAGAAAGTTATAAATCAAATTGAGAAGGATGTTGGCTGCAAAATCAAAATGGAGGAGAAGTTTATTATAGTCAGTGGGAAGGACAGATTGATCCTAAGAAAAGGAGTGGATGCTGTACATAAAATTAAAGAAGATGCCGACAAAAAGGGTCCTTCTAGTTCTCAGGTGTCCAGATCAAGGTCACCTGAGCGCCGAAGTCCTGTTAGCGCTCGTATGGCACGTTCTGATTCTCAGAGATCCAATCACAGCCCTCAGAGTGCATCACAGTTACACCATAGGTACGGAAGACAAGAGAAGGTTGTTGATGATCGCGGTCATGATGATTTTCACAAGATTGCAAGGGGTAGTTCACAAGGTAGGAAAGCAAATAGTCCACTGTCTCTTCTACAAGTAGATCACACTTTTTACTTTTAGCCTGCTTTTTGTTTCTTATTTTTCAGTTCTACATGTAACTTTCACAATTAAGTTTTGTATGAACTTCACAGGCTTGTTCTGACGTTGATTTATTTGCTTTAGTAATGTATGTTACTTAGTTTATCTTTCCTTTTCTTTTTGTGGCAGCAAGAGGTAAGTTCTTTTCAAGCATTCTGTTCGATTCTGATGTAACATTCCTGGTGGACTCAAATGAAAGGATTGTGTCCCCCAATGAAAATTTTCACTGAAAGTATGTAGAGACTCGTTTGCTTCAGATGGGTTCACTATGAGAATTTAAGATAGTTTGCCATGTTAAAGCTGCCATCATTGTTAGAGTTCTTCACTGGAAGTGCTTAACCCACTCTTCATTTGATGAAGCTTATGGTAATGATGGAGCTAGAGGTCGATCAAGCCTGTCAAAGTCTCCGGCACGTGCTGCTTATATGAGTAACTCGTATAATTCATATGATGGTCATGGTCAGGGCAGGGGTGTCTCCCGGTCTGATGGTTGGGATGCGAGTAGACGTGATTCTGACATGAAATCTAACCGTGATTTGGACCGCCCCTCCATTCCACAATCCTTAGAGAGTGTTGAATTGGAATACCAAAAGGATGCCATAGATCTAGGAAGAATTCGGGACAAGGAAGAAGATGAAGAAAATCACAAGCATAGAGAGGTATGAGATTTACTTTAACTTTCATCTTTCCTTTTGTTTTTTCTATTTGGATTTTTTTTTTAGATTTCAGACTTGTTTTTGGCTTTGAAGAAGGACCTTCTCTGAAGTCCCTCATGCAGATGTGTTAAATTCCAGTCAGGTTATGTTTTTATGCAAGGACTTTAGTGATAATTTGTTTTGGTTTGTCAATTGTAGGCCATCAGAGATGTAAGAGAGAACTACATGAAGAAATTGGCCATCCTTAGAGTTGAACATGCAAAGCAATGGGAAGAGTTTCTTCAAATTGATGCAGCAAGGAGGCAACAGCTGGCAGGACAACGAATGCCAGCCTCTGGGTTTGGCGGTTATAATCAACAGAGTTATCAAGAGTATGAGAACTCTGCAGGTAATCCACATTATTCTGGACCCAACATACCAATGGAACCAAGGGGAAGGTATCCAAACCCTATGGATAACTATCATCCATCAAGACCACATGACAGTTACGATGACTTTCAGCGTCAGAGGCGTGATGACTTTGGGAAAGCCTATAATCGATACTAGATGGATAGATTGGAGTTTTTTTGTGGTGAGTTGTCTTACTCTTTCGACAAGCTAAGAGTCCTAAGTTTCATTTCACGTTTCACCTTAAAGCATTAGCTCTGTTATTTTTAGGACTTCAAATCTTTCAGGATGCAAGTTGGTGGAGTCCACAGGTTCACTGCGATGAATCAGTCTGCGCAAGTCATGTTTGGAGATATAGAAACATCATGAGAGATGCTGAGTATGGTATCGTAGATGTTGTAAAGACAATTGAAACAGGGTTCTTATTTGGGGTTAGTGGTGGTACATTTATCTAGACTAGTGAAGTTTGAATTCTGGCGTGAGATTTGGAAATTCTTAATACCATGGTATACTTGCCTGCTTTTGCATATGCATCAAGAAGCTTTTGATCAAATGATGAGTGATACATTTTTCATAATCCTGGCGATTTTAGCGAGTTATTGTTCTCTTAATACTTGAATGTCATAATTCAGTCTGCTGGGTTATATTCTTATAATATTAGTTAGTTTCTGTTCTCCTAGTTTCATACGAAAAGAGTTTGGTGAATCGTGAGGATACACACCTACATCGGCTGAAATATTTTCAAGGACGTTCAAGTTATGAGAATGTCCTACCGTTTAATTGATAGAGCCTTTTTCCTAAGATTTTTAACATACACTACTTATTAAATACATCTAGATGTATTAAATTGGCATATTTTGTTAGTGGATCAAAATCGGTTAAGTCACCAAATGAATTATATCTTAACCTGACCAAACTCTAAAATTTGGGTTAATATGCGTAAATTACGGGTTATGTAATCTTGGGTCTATATGGGTTATGTTATCTTGCCACTTTAATTACGGATTATATTATCTTGCAACTTTAATTAAAGACGCCTAATAAATAAAAGAAAAAACAGATAGAAAGTATTTTTTTTTATATTCATATATTTTTTTTTTAAATTAAACCTACTCAAAAATCAAAAACTCGTATTTTACTATGTTACTCTCTAAATTATGACTTTCAAGTATTAAAAGTTCTAAATCCCGTAACTGTCGCATTTATTAAAATTCATAGTCAAACTATGCATTATTTATGTTATTCCTGAATTCAAATGCCCCTGCTTCAAATTTTTTTTTGTGTCAAATGGACACTACCACTCTGTTTGGATCATTGTATTGTATTGTATCGTTACTATACCTACAATGTTTGTTTTGATTGTTACTTAAAATATATTATATTGTATTGTTAAATTTCGTTGTTACGTAACAATGAAAACTCCTATTTTATGGAACAACCGATTTGGTGTGTTCCCATTGTTACTTAATTTCCTTTTCCAATTATATCTTTACATAATATTTCAAAATATTATTTTACCCTTTACCTTATATTATTTAATTCTAGTCAAACCTCCTACCCTAGAATAATTAAGAATATTTTAGTAAATACATAAGTACTATACAATCAAACCAAATAATTAAAATGTTATTAAACAACAACAAACAATACAATCTAGCCAAATATTATATCTACCATATAATACAGTACAATACATTATGAAACAATGGGTAACCATGATCCAAACAGAGTGTACGAGTAGTTCCTTTTTGGTTTAGAGTAATAATAGTTCTGTTTAGCATGAAATAAATTCTAATTAAATAACTAGAACTAAAGAAGAACAAAAAGGGAAAGAGAAAATAAGGAGTCATTTTTGTTCCATTTGGTTCTAGTTCACTATAATTCCATGTTTCCTGCCTCAATTAATAAACCCTAAACCCTCCTTCCGTCCTCCGGATTGAAGCTTAATTTTCCGGTGAAGTACACGGCGGAGATGGATTTGGACTTCGACGGTCCAAGTAAAGTTCCGACCAGGCAATCCCGTTTTGCTCCTAAAAGTTCTAAATTGAAGCCTCAACCAGAAACCAAACCAAAAATTGAAACACTGCCACATTCTGATTCAGCCATTTTGACTAAAAAGGAAGAGTTGAGTGTTTCTTTAGCCGAAAACGGAGCGGTTACAGGTAATGACGACGTTCCATTGGAAGGAGAAACTACAGGAAACTACCTGGGAGAAGATGAAGGACAAGTCACTGACAGCGATCATGATGAAGTTGTTCGTGAAATTGATGTGTGTATTAACCCTTCCTTTGATCCCAGCACTCAGGTAAATTACTCGATTTAAGAAATGTGTTGTCTTTTTGTTGAATTTTGCATTTTTTTAATTTGTTGAGTATAATTTTCTTTTTGTTTGTCAGTTATATGTGTTTCAATATCCATTGAGGGCCGTATGGCGTCCCTATGAATTGGAGGAAAGATGCCAAGAGGTGAGTCACAATTGTTTTTAATGTTTTCATTTGGTGGAATAAATTGGTCATTGCTTATTATGCCAAATGAATCAGTAGCTTCGAAGATTAAATTGAAAATGGGAGGTTAAAGATAAGAATGGACTGGCTGGGTTTAAGTGATCAGTTCTGAATTCCGTTTTTTTATATTTTCAGGTGAGGTTGAGACCTTCAACTGCAGAAATGGAGGTTGATTTGGCAATAGATTTGGATTCTAAAAATTTTGATAGAGACTCTGTCCATGCTGCAACAATAAAAAAGCAGGTTCATTTGATTTATCCTCTTAAAATGTAAAGAGAATCTTTGAGATGTATGGAAGCATGACTTTTTAATATATTGTTCTCTTCTTAAACCGCAACATAGGCAAAGAACTAACTAGTTAATTTCTTTTCATCTGTGTGAGCCTTTGTTGGGTAGAGTTACCTGGTACATTTTTTGGTAGTTAGTGGGAGTTAGCACGTACCCGATGTAATAGTCTAGGTGTTTATAAAAAAGCTACACCACACGCGCGTGCACACACACATATATGTATACATATGCTCTCCTTTTCCCTAGTTTCTGAGCATAAAATTATTAGAGATAGGCTTAGTGTTGCTAGCAATTGGCGGCTAAGGTCAGTTTTTCTCCCTTTAAAAAAAAGTAAAATCCACCTTGTGCTGCCATGGCGTTTGGCTTTTCATCAAATTATGTCTGTATGTGCAAGTCAGTTGCATATCAAACTTTAACTAGTTAAATGGCACGAAGATGTTAAAATTGTGGTGCCTGTCACCTTCAAAGCCTGCGGCCGCCGCTTTATACATATATATCGTCCAGTTTCCTGGTTGTAACTCTGCTGTTAGGTGTAGGATAATGAGGTTGTTTTTTGCGAACTTTGACATTTAGATTCTGGAAACTCTGCACTTGATATTTGTTCCCTTAGCAGGAATTTCAGTTCTAATTTCTTTAGCCAGAATCTGATTGTTTCTCATATTCCAGATGCTTTCTACATCATGGATGCCATTACCAACTTGCGCCTCTGGATATGCTGTTGGGGTCCTCATTGGCGATAAGGTAAACAATTTGTTGTTGATGGCTTAAATGCATCTTAAACTCCCTCATGAAGTTTGATTGACTAGTAGTTAGTCTTCTGCAGTTTCTGTGTGTGCTTATGCATTTTTCAGTTGTTGTCCTTTTCTTTTTAGAAATCTAATTAGGACCATAACAATGTCGAGTAGCTACTCTCTCAAATTGAAGTGTGATCAAGTCAATTTTATATCAGCTTCAAGTTGAAGCAAATCATCCGCTGTCAAATCTGACTCTACTGCTATCTAGCGGTCTGGAACTGCTATAATAGTATAGTGCTTCTGGCTCTCTTATTCACCCCAAGTTCTGCCACTAAGGGGTTGTTTGGTTGGGAACAAGTTATCGAGGGATTAATTATTCTGTGATAAGTTATTCCACCATGTATATGAGATAACTTATTCCATCACTATGGTATAAATGGTGGGATAAATAAATAATCCAAGGACTACCTAATACCTCCAACCAAATGCAGGATAATAATTCTGCATTTTATCCCGGGATTATTATACCTTATACTTCACACCAAACTATTCCTTAGTAGTAAAATGTTGTCAAGTTAATCTAGTTATATTCTTTTGTTTCTTATATAAATTGGTGTGAATAACTTTAACTAAATTTCTGGGTTTGCTAATAGTGATTTGAAGCTCATTTCTGCAGTCAAAAGAAAAATATTAAAGCTTACTAATGTTCTCCATAGTCACGCTCTTGCTTCCCGTTTGTTATGCAGTTACACCTCAATCCTGTTCATGCAGTTGTACAACTCCGGCCATCAAAGCGGAATCTTAAGGAAAGTGAGTTGAAGAAGAACGTTACCACCAACAATGATGAAAAAAGTGTTGAAAATGAAGACGTCAAGGAGAAAAGGCCCATGGGACCATCAAAGAAGCAGGTTCATTTCATGATTTTCTCTTTGATGACAGCTCCTAAGCTCAACTTATATGGACCTTGTATATGACCACTTTTCACGTGATATTATGGCACAGATCATTGGCTAGCACTTAAAATATCATATGTCAAGGACTTCCCATTTCCTGCTTTACTAGGTTTGCCACATTTTTGGATAAATAATGATAACGAGGATGCCTAAAGATAGGTCTTCAGTAGTTAAGCAATCTGCTACTTCAAGTCTTACTTTTTCTTGTATGGTAAATGCCACACCTACCTGCCTTTCCACTTCGCCTCAATTGGTGACTCGAGTCAACCCCAACTTTATTGTTGGAGGTGGAGAATCTTTTGCAACTAGGTTATCCTTCCTTGATGTTGTACAAGCTTTTTGTAAAAGTGTGTTACCTTTCCCTTGATTTATTCTTGAAACATATACCTTTTGTGCAGAACAAACCACCTGGGATAGAAAAGGATATTGGAGAGGTATGAACACCTGTGAACATGTACTCACAAAATTTCTGCTTTTCAGTATGAACTAATAACTCTCCATATTGTTCTTTAGCTTGAGTGGCTGCTGATTTTTCACCTACATGGTTTGAATTGACGTTTCTGTTGAAAGTGTTTTCTATTTATATTTGCTCAAGAGCAGTTAGCTTACTTCACGCAGTTGCAATTATCATTCCAAACAGTTTCATTGATGCAGATCCTTGTGAAGTTATTAATATCTGTTTTATTTCCTGTTTTAGCATTGGTTACATCTAAAATACCATGGGGCTAGGAGTGACATTTCAGCCAGATATCTGCAGAAAATGGCCATGGAGGAAGGCTCTCCAGTACCATTTTCAATGAGCCCGTATGTGTGCTAATATGGTTTATTTTTCTTTGCTTGAACGATATTTTTTTTGGGCAAACTGCTGCTGTTCAGGACAACTAAAAGAAGCATTTTCCCTGCCTCACAGCATACATTTATCTACTCTCATTCTAATACCAGTTTTCTTTTCTTATTTGATACGCAGGGTTGATTATCTGAATGCCTTTTTTCCTGGAAGACCAACTGACACTGACAGATTAAAAATTCTTCGAACAAGGTATTGCAGCCACTCTAATTGGTCCTTCACATCATGTGTTTTGACATTGAAAGGTTTGGAGGAGCTGCTAAGGACAAAAACCAAAAATTTATT